GCTGTGCCGAATACACAAGAAACAGATCAACAGATATGGCAGGTAATCATCAGAGGAGATGCTATTTTATACAATGTAGCTAAAAATATTTTAATGATGTAAAAGCAACAGATAAATAAAAGCAATTATGTTTAATTTTTCTTCCTGTGTGCCGGCAAGGTTTTGGTCGTTGCTGCTGTCGCCTGTGTTTAGCAAGGAAGCTCAGAGCACAGAGTGGTCGCTGCAGTGGCGGCTCTGCCTTCTCGCAGTCGAAGAGCGCTGCAAGCCGCCGTTTCTCTGCTCTTTCCGGCCTCAGCATCCCGGGGCACACAGGACCAGGGAGAATGCTGATACGGGATACGCGAAGGCTCAAATCCACCGAGAACCCTGCAATTTTGCAAAGCAGTCGCCTCTCCCCAGGCCTCACAGAGTCCAAAAAGAAAAGAAAAAGAGAAATTCCAGGCGTGGGGTTGGGGCAGTGGAAGCGATCTGGGGCTGTTTCTCTGCCTCCTGGACCCCTGGCCGCTCTGCCCTGCCCCGAGTGCTTCTCCCTTTTGGAAAATTCATCCTCTCCAACGAAGGGCTAACGCGCCCCCTCTACCCATCCCCTGGGCAGAGAATAAACACAGTTGACATCATTGTTATAATCTTTATTTAAAACTGTTTCCAAGGTTACAAATTACCGTGCCTCATGTGCAACAGGTTCCTCTGAAGTGGTATCATTACAGATTAACGGTAATGTGTGGTATTAGAATAAAAGCATAAGGGATTAAGGCAAAAGAGATGACGCTCCAGAAATAGCGCCCGAGCGCATCTCCAGTGCAAGTCAGCCGGGAGAGACAGCGAAGACTATGGGTGTTGGGGGCCCGCGCCGCCGCAGAGCTGGACCCTGTTCCTCCGCTCGGCCCAGGCCCTGAGCGCTCCAGAGGCTGTGGCGCAGCGAAGGCCAGTGCGGCCAACCTTTAGGGGCGACGCTTCTTGGGCTCCAGAAATTAGGGACCAGACCTGGGGCCGGGGAGGTGAGGATAGAGAGGCCGAGCAGACAGGCCAGGGGCTGCTCTGGGGACCGCAGGAAGCGCCACACGGGGACAGGGTTCCGCAGCCACCCGAAGTGCCCCAGATGTTGCGTCCACACAGGGTTACTGGGTTTGTCCGTGTGGCTGACATCTCATTCAAGGCCCAGACCTGATGGTGGGGTCCCCGAAAGGAGTCCCCCTACCCGCTTCAAGCACCAATGTCCTCCCACCCCAAGTCTGGGGTTGCAGGGCCGGGAACCCTGGCGCCGGCGTCTGTGTCCTTCTAAGCCCGGGACTTGGGTCTTCCCACTGGGCCGGCGAGGCCCTGGGTCCCAAGAGGCCGGCCCTACTGGCTGTCCCTTCCCCTGTCGCTCCAGGAGGCCCCCGGAGCCGCCTCTCCCCGGCGCTGCTGCCTCCGAGGCCAGAGCCCGCCGCGCCGGCCCCCGCCGGCCGTGGGCCTCGGCGACGCAGCCCGCGGGCCGTTTGCGTGTCAGGGTGGAGGGCGCGGGGCTGGAAAAACAAACAGGGCCGGACGCGGAGGCTGGGGTGGGGGCCAGAAGGAAGTGGACAGTGTGGCAGGAGTGCCGGACAAAGCCTGCTCGGGAGCGCGGCGTCACCCCGCGGTGACCCCGTCCGCCCAGCAGAGCCGCGGGGCCCGGACTCGTCTCCGCGCGCAGAGGGCTCGGGCGCGGGCTGCTCCTCGTCTCCCAGGCCGGCTCCGGCCCGCCCGGACGGCTCGAGGGACAGCACGCAGCGGGCCAAGCCTCTCCCCGCCACCCAGCCCGGCGAGCGAGGCTGGGGATGAGGGCGCAGCTCCGTGGTGGTGCCCTCCTTCAGGCGACTGGGCGACTCTGGGCGCGCTGGAGCCTCAGCTGTGCCAGCAGCCGGGGAGGGGGCGAGCGGGCTCCCAAGTGGACGGGAGTGGCGACCGACTTCGCTCGACTCCTGCTAGCAAGCGAAGGGCCCTGGTTGAGGCGACGCGGGAGGGGACTGTTGCAAACAGCTGTTCCTCATACATATTTCATTACACAATCAGATAATGCGTCCCACCACCTTCTCAATTATTCACAGATAAACATTTTCAAGACGTTTTGACATCTGTCTTAGTGCCTGCTATTAATTTAGTAATCACTGTAGTTAAAAATGTATGGGATTTTTGCCGTCGGAGAACCTCCTCTCAGCGCGCGGGCCCAGTGTTGGGCTACGGCGCGGAGTCGCAGCCCTTGGGATTGAAGACACCTTTGGAGGTGAGTCGGCCTCTCCAGCGCGTTGACACTGTTGTGGAAGGGTTAGAGGGTAACTGGTTATTTTAATTTATTGTTGGAGATGATGTCATCTACATCACCCACATACCCTCTGCATTTTCCCGCCCCAACCCTAGACCCTCAACGGTGCCCAGCCCTTTGCCCTGGGCATCGGAAATGGTGAGCTTCTTTCTAGGCCAAAGTAGGGGCAATCCTAAACAGCTAGTTTTGGAAGAAAGAGAGGGAAGCACACAATCAGTGAGAATTTCTTACAAAAAAATCCTAACAATACAGTGAGCTCTATTCAAGAGGTCACAAATCTCTGCAGATTTGCTCTGGGCCTTGTTTCCCTGGCAGAGGTGACAAGGGCATTCGGGAAATAGAAAAATAAGTTTGCTGCCGTCACTGTACATGGAACGTTCTGGGCTATGAGGAAACCAGTAGCTTTTCTGCCTCAGTAATAAATGTTGCAACCGGTACCAGTATACACATGCAGTTTTTAAAATCAGCCAAGCAGAGTTTGAAGAATCTTGGAAGATTCAAAAGTAAGAAATATTTCCAACTGTAAAATGTCATCATTTATTTGAGGAAGCCTTTAGGTAAACTACCCAAAGAAGGAAAGAATACCTGAAAGCAAACAAGTTTGTCTCTTTGCACTCTGAACCTCAGCTACAGGGAATGAAAAGTATACTTTGGATCTGAGAGCGATGGGTCCTTAGGCATTTCTCTGTGTGGAAGTCTTTTTGGGGGGTGAATCAGCTGGTGGACCCTCATTTGGGAATGAGGAAACACAAACCTGGATGAAGAAAAAACGATCTTAGAAGAAACTGCCTTTCTAATGAAAATCAAAATTTCATGAGTCTAAAGTGAATTTCACTCATTATTGTTCCAAATATCTACAAGAATAAACTCTTGCCACAATGCCCAGGAATTAAGTATATCCTAAAAAGGAAAATGATATAGCATCACCCCCCAAAAGAGGAGAAAATCTTTCCTGCTCATACCTCCATATCCCCTCCGTTTCTAGGGCAACTACAACTGCTGAGGCAAGTCCTCCTGCCGTGTTGTTCGGTGGTTCATTTCTTCTTCACAAAATGGGCCCTCCTTTGCTCCTGGAAGGGTGGTCATCTAACTTGCTGGACCAGAAACTCCTCTTTATCCTTCTTCTTTAACAAAAATCGAGACAAATCTTTCCAAACTTAGTCTCTACATTCAGATGAAAAAGAGGCTAGAAAAATGAGCTCAAAAGAGAGAAAGTTGCGAAGGAAGACGAAGCGGAAGAAGGGCACATTGCTCCCAGCGTGCACAAAACCAGCTGCTGTCCAGGACTGTTCACCTGGACTACACGTAGGCAAGTGGAGCAGACCCCAAAAACAAGCTCCTGCAGTTACTCAGGCCTGGTGGGAGAGCCATGCTGGGAATCTCTGCTGGTAGCCCTTCAACTGGGCAGGGACATCGAACTCTATCGAGATTGGGAAGCAGGGGCTGAGAACGTCCCATTACCTCACAAAGAAAATAAGTTTCACAAACTAAATAATTCAGCTTGCTTTAGTGTTCTTTTGCGGAGAATATTTTGATATACAGGGGGCTGGGATAGAACCCTGGGCAGGAGGAGGGAGCTGAGCTAATACTTCCTTGAAGGACTAGATTTAGGATAACAGAAGCGAAGAGGGCAAAACAAGGAGTTTCTAGAACCTAGAAACTCTAGGTTCATTTCTAGATTGCTGGTTAGAGGGAATTAGACGCCTGTGTTTCAGTGAGACTGTCTATGCCCTCTCTACCTCCAGAATGCAACCTCCTAGGTTAAAAATCACAAAAATAAATACGGATAATCCCTGTCAAAATGAATCTTTCCTGTATTGCCCTCTTCTGGGTGTCTCCAACAGAGCAGGGAAGAAGGTAAAAAGACTGGCTTTGGCTCTTTCTGTTCTCGCTAGTCTCCAGGACTTGACCTGAAACCTCTCACCCAGTCAACAAAGTTTCTCCCTCGGGGCCAATGTCCCTCCCTCTAGCAGGAAGCCTTGCCGCCTGCATCCTTATTCTCCCTGTGTGCAGCTTCCTCTACATCGGCCTGCATGTGTGGGGTCAATCCACGCGGGCCCTGTGCCTTTTGTCTGCGTCTGGACAGCCGAGCGTGCACTCATGCATTCGAAGATTTATGCCTGTGGACACTTCTTTATTCTTCACATTCTGCTGTTAGTGTTCCTTTAACTTGCCCATGTGTGTTCTGCACGCAGGCAGGTGACTCATTCTGAGCCAGAGCTCAGAGTATTTGCTTGGGGAGGTGAAGTGGGCAAGTGCAAACTTCGGGCCTTGGATGCGTTGTGAAGTCGATAAGACTTCCTGACCCCAGGCCAGGGCTCCTAGGCCTCTTTTACACCTTCGTCTGCCCACTTCTTAACCTTTCAGAAGGAAGGAAACCCTCAGACGGTCCTGCACCACAAATCCTTTCTGGAAGGGTGGGACCAACCTTCGGGACCTCTCCTGAGGAACCATGGCCTGGCCGGGTCTAATGCAGGAGGAAAAGTCTCTCTAGAGCTCTGGGCTGCATTCCCCTTGCAGTCACCTCACTGCAGAATGCTCCCCGTGCTCTAGCGGGGTGCAAATCCAATTGTGGACATCGCAGAACCTCAGGGCGAGTAATTGGAGGGTTTGGGGGACAAAGCTCTCCTCCTTGGCCTCCCGGGGACAGTTCTACAAGTACCTGGGAAGGAGCCTCCACCTGCCTCCTCGGCCCCTCCTCCAGCCCTTGCCTAGAGCAGCACCCCGAAGGCTACCAGAGTGCTTTACTGCCACCCCAAGCACCCCGGGGCCATGACATATTTTCAAGACACCTGGAAGGGCCTAGAGGGCTTGATCTGGGAGGGAGGTGATCAAAAAGAATGAGCACGGTTCAGTAAGGCGGTGGTAGGATGCATTCTTCCGCTGGGAATCCGCCTGGCAGCCTGTCACCTTCTCTCCTCAGAGGTCTGCGGGGGCGCTGGCCTCCGGGGTAGGGAGTACCGGGTGTATGTGCGAGTGTTCACCTGTGACTGGAAGCGGTTTCTCATGAGTTCCTGGAATCCTCTAGAAGTGTTTTCTGGTGATTGAGAAAGCTGCTGACTTGCGGCTAACTTCAGGGAGTCTGTTCCTAGAGGACAAATGCCAGTCCGATGGTGGGTCTGCGCGTCTCTCCTGCTCATTAGCGCAAAGTGAAGCCATCTCTCCTCCCTCACGCAGCACAGATCAAAAGGGCCAAGGCCCGGGGACCCTGAGGCTTGGAGGACTGAGGCCCTTAAAATGACCCCCAGTGTTCCGATCCTAAGGCCCAAGTTGTTCCCGTGCCCATGCAGGGTCGAGATGGAAAATCTAGGTGGGAACCGGAGACCAGAATAACCACCCCACACCCCTTGCTGGTTGAAATCCCAACCTCGGCGCGCTGGACCTACCAACCAGATATCTCACTGCTGACCCAGTCTGGAATCCGGATTGGAGGCCGCCCGGCGGGGTGGGAGGGCTGGTGAGCGAACTGGGTTGGGACACGATGGAGGTGGAGATGGAAAGAGGGAAGAAAAAGAAAGGAGGCTGAGGAGGGATGTGGAGACGGATGAGGATGCGCTGGAGGTGGAGTTGGGGCTGCCTCGGGGAGCGCCGACTTCTCACCCTGCTATGGAGAGGTGCATCCGGCTGCTCGCTCCCCCCAACCCCCGGGAAAATAAAGCTAATGATGTAGTAATTTAGGAGGAGGTGGGGGCTGGGTAAAAGGAGGGAGGGGAGAACTCCGCGCGCCCCAAGAGCGAAAGCAAACAGCTAGCTGTGGAGGCGCTGCCCGCAGCTCAAGCTTCCCAACAGGTTAGCTAGACGGGGATCCACCTGGTATTTCGAAGGAAGGGGGGGCAGAGGAGGAGAGAATCGTACTAGGAGACAGAGGGAGGGCGGGAAAGCGAGATAGGAGCCAGAGAGCGCGCCGCGCGGTTTAAAAGAGGAGACTTACACTTCCTAATGAATATTTATCCGCCGCTGCTTCTTGCTCCCGGCTTCCCTTACCTTTCCGCAGGTAAGATCCTCCCTGAGCCCCAGACCTGGGGGCCCTCCCGATTCCCCCAGGGCGGGCGCTCTGGGCCGGGCGGGATGGGGGTTGGGAGGAAAGCGGCTCAACCGCGCTGGGCTTCGGCGCCAGGCGTGCGACCCGCACTGCCGAGAACCGCGCGCGGGGGCTACCTGTGTAGAATGGGTGTGTGTGCGCGTGTAAGTGAGAGAAAGAGAAAAGGGGACGGGAGGGGGAGAGAGAGCCTGTGCGCCCGCGAGCGCGCACCGGTTTGTGGCGCGCTCTGGGGACATTTTCCGACTTTCCACTCGGACGCCCAGGATTTCTGGCCTTGGCCTTTCTTTGCTTCCCCTCCCTCTTTTGGCCTCGTCCCCCAACCCACTCCGAGCCCTGGCCGCCGGGAAGCTCCTCTGCGCGCCTTTGTACCGCTGGCGCAGGCTCCCCTAAGCCGGATCCCCTGGGCCGGATCCCGCCTCTCCGAAGAGAGAATGAATAGTTCAGTTTCCACGGAAAACGCCCACACAAAGGCCGCCGGCTAAGGGATCCCGTGTTCCCTTCCTGTCAGCTCCGCTCTGGAGGTGCAGCGGCGCGCTCTCCCTCCTGCCCCCTCTTGGGGCGCCAGGGCCGGGTCCAGGGAGCCAAAGTGCTGCTCCCACCCGAGGCAGCGGGAAGAACTCACAGGGGTCGTCTGCCAGCTTCGCTGGGCTGGAACCCTGAGCCCGAGAGCCCAGGGGGCGGGCGCTGCTCCCGCTCCCCCCACCCCACCCCCGCGCGCTCTCTCCTGCGTGGGCAGGAGGAGCCTGTGAACTCTGTCCAGCCTGGGGGGAAACGGGGAGGGGGAAATAAGGGGGTCAGGGAGGGGCTGACGATAGAACCAGAATCCTTTAAACAGACTTACCTAGCCACCTGTTGAGAATCCGTTTGGGCTCGGCCGGCTTCCAGGCTGCGCGAGGTGGACACACAAAACCCAGGGCCAAGTTGGAAAAAGAAAATTCTGACCATGTCGTGCCGGACATGGGGATCCTCTGCGCGAGGATCGAGAGGCTGGGGAGCCAAGAGAGCCCTTGCCAGGCGCCCCGCCACCCCAGCGCTCCCCCCGCCCCAGCCCCGTCGCACGCCTCCTTGGCTCCGAGGCCAGCGACAGTGCCAGCGGACTAGGCGCTCTGGGCCCAGCACCGCAGCTCGGCTTAAGCCGGGGCAGATTTTCTAAACCCTGCTCAGAAGTCAAGAGCAGCAGCGCCGCCGCTCCGCGCGGCCTTTCAAGCCGCAGCCGCTCCTTATTCTTGTGCTTCGGCTTCTCCGGGCGCCCCCCGAGACCGGCCTCTCCCTTCCCGCTAAATCCCCTTCGGGGTCAGTGAGCTACCAGCACCGGGCCGCGCGCCTCTCCTGCCAGCCGTGTGGCTCTTAAAGAGCTGCGCCCCCCCTCCGCCCGGCGCGCTCCTCAGACCCCCGCCTCCCCGCCCCTCGCCTTCGGATCTAGCCCCCCACGCCGACTCCTGAGGTCCCTGCTGCCCCGACCGACCACTGCCCGCCGACTCCAGCCCCCTCCTTTTGCCTCCTCCCCTGAGCAGCGGTGGGCCTGGCCTTGGGGCCACAGAACTGAGCTCTGCCCTCCGCCTTAGGTCCCCCTTTTCTCCAACAGCGCCCACCCCTTGGCTTCTCTGCGCCTGCTTTTGCCCTTTGGATGGATGGTGGCGTGGGCACTGCCTTTACTCAGCTCGAGGATGATCCCTACACAGTCAGTTTTGCCTTGACTTAAGGGGCCTTAGAGTGGGAAATGGGCTGGGCATGCCAGTGAAATGGAAGGGGAGAGAGGAGAGGGCAGAGGAGCAGGCCGGATGGATGAGGGGGCTCTGCTATGTCAGGCCTGCCTGGCCTTTTGGCAGCAGATGAAGGCTGGCCTGTCCCTCTTCTTTCTAGAGTGGGCCTCCCAGAATGGGATCTGGAAGCTACCAGCTTGGCTAGGCTCAGTGTGTCAGAGCACTGTGGGCATCTAGGGGGAGGGCCTCCAGAAGGCTCAGTGTGGGTCCGGAGCACCCTGCTTCCCAGGCCCTCCAAAAGGAACCTTTAAGGGCCCAGGAGCTGAGTGCAAGGTGGGGGTGACAGGGAGCCTTGAATTTTCCTTGAGTCCAGGGAAAAGGGCAGTAGAGGAGAACGGGGATAGTTTCTGAAGACTGAAGTGTGATTTCTAATAGTTTCTTAAATGTACTGGTCAAACACGTTACTAGTCCCAAGAAAAGGAGGAAAGGGAGTAGATGGTTGCCTTGGCCCCCTTTCTTCCAGAACTTTCCTTCTTTTCCTCTCTCCTGGGCCTACATTAGGCCCAGTTGCACCAAGGAAGGTGGCCCTTCTGTGGCACTTTCTTCAGGCCTGCCCAAGACGAGAAACATGATTAAAGGGAGACCAGAGGAGGCACAGCTGGGGGGTGGGATGCATGGCTAGCATAGGCTGTGGTATCTGGCCTGCCCTTCCCGATGGCCAACTGTCCCAGCATTTGATCGCACACTGCTTGGGCTCTGCCGCGGGGGCGCAGTGGTGGTTTGGGGCGCTGAGCCTGCCCACCCTTCTCAAATGCAGGTCTGAGTTCTGGTTGTCAGAAAAGGACTGGTGGGAAGAAATGTGCAGCCTCCCGGGCACTGGAGACCAAAGGAACTTGAGCAGGAAGGAAGATGCCCTCCCCTGGGCATCTGCCCTCTGCCACTCCAGCATTAGTGCAGATGCATCTTTAAGGCACCGGAGTGACTAATTGATTTGCTGTTGTCCCTTTTGGGAGGGGGAGACTGATCCAGGGCCAGAGTCTGAAGCTGTGCCCCCACCACACACACACCCACACCCACACACACGCAACCAGTGGGGCTCACACCTCCTGAGTCACCTGCTCCTTTTTCTTGGGGCTAGATCACCACAGCCAGCTAGGCTGGGTTTATGCCCACCCTCCTGGGCAGTGGGTGGTGCCTGTGGCCCAAGACAGCGCCAGACTTCGCTTGTTTAAGGATGTGGGGGGTGGAGGGTCCTTTAGCGGGCGGTGGGGCTCATTAGGCAGAGCGGGGTGCCGAGAGGTGCGCGCTGCCGGCCTCCGAGGCCGCCTTTGAGCCGACCGGGCGGCTTCATTAAGCGGCGCTAACAAGGCGTACAAATGCCGGGCCCAGCAGCTTTCTTGCAATGCCGGGGCCTTAGCAGGGCGCCAGGCTAATGAGGGTCACTCAAAGGGGCTGATCAAATATTCAAATTTCCTCGCACGCCGGGAACTTTTATGCACGGAGAAAGTTGAGGCAACTGAGCTGTGTTTACGGTCCCGGGCGACAATTGCTTGGAGCGCGGGTCCCCGGAGGCTAAGACGGGGGCGGGGGTTTGGGGAGGGAGCTGTTGTTGTTGTTGTTGTTGTTTTTCAAAGGAAAGTAATCGGGGTCCTTGAAGGGCTTCGAGGCCTCCCCGCCTGCGCGCTGCGCTCCCCTGCGCCCTCCCTGGCGGTCCGCGCCAAGCGCCTTACTTTAACGGCTTGAGTGGAGGCCAGACCTCGGGCCACCAGGCCAGCCCCCTCCTCCCGACGTCCTGGGGGCCGGAAGGGGCGGTCCCCTGTCCCCCCCAGGAACCGTCCCTGGCCTTCTGAGTGTGCTGCTGCAAGCTGGGCAAGGCCAAATGGGTGCAACTGCCTCAGCCCTCTGTATCCTCCTCTCGCAGAGGCCTGCAGATCCCTGCAACCGGAAACAAGCAAGTCTCTCGGGCATGTCTCCTGTCTGAGACTTTCTCATTGCTGGAGTTGACTGACACTTCTAATAAATGCCCAGTAGATCCCGATACGAGAACATTCTCCACTCTTAACACCCACTTTTTTCCCCGGCACCACCTGTGTATTGTGTTTCTGGAGGCCTCGACTGAAGCAGGAACGAAGGCCACTGTTTTGTTCTGCACAGGTGGCCTCGGTCTGTACCAGTCCCGAGTCCCACACTCACCAAGTTCCAGATCTCAGCGTCTCAGCAGCCCGAGGGCAAAGGGCAGGCGTACCTGCCCCCTCGGACCTGGTCGCTGTGACTAACTCGGGGTGCGCGCAGCCTTCAGCCCCTGCTCAGCAGTCCCCGAGGCTCACTTGCTGGCCCTGGCGCTGCCCAATGGCTTGGTCCCCTACCAGTGAGGCAGGCGGTCTGGGTCCTGGAGCCCGAGTTCTTTCTGTTCTTATCCCCGTTCCCCAGCGCCCAGCAAGGTGGGAGAAGCCCTGACGCCCCACGGCGGTCCTTCCCGCCCAAACGCACACAGCACCCCTACACCGAGAACCTGAGTCGCCTGCATTTCCAGGCCCGCCGTCTGCGCAGAGGACCAGCCGCCCCGCCTTCCCTCTCAGCTCTGTGGCCTCTCAACTTACTGACTTCAGGCGCCGGGCGTAGGGCTTCGGGCTAGAGAGGCGCTGGCGGCGG